TAAACGGCAGCGTGTTAGTTAAAAATAATTTAATTCCGTCGCGAAGCTGCCGACGGTTAGAGAAAGAAAAAAGAAGAGAAACGGGGGAAACGAGAGAGAGATTGCAACCGGCGCACTGTGTGTATTTTGGTAACGAAGCCCTCGGAATTTCCACGGAATTTCCATCTTTTCTTTCTTGAAAGCGCGAAGAGTCGGTGTTTTTAAGCACGCGATATATATATATATATGTGCTTTTAAATCCTCGAAAGATTTAATTCCTTTCGGCGCGGCGCGCGAAAAATATCTTTTTCATACGAGAGGATTTGCACTTACGCGCAAAACATGTTTATCTGTCAGATACGTCGAATGACATTTCGCTATGAGAGTATTCTCGCATTGTCGTGGTATTTTTTACATTTTTTATACTTAAACAGGATGAGTCCAAAGTTAAAACATTCTTCAGGCAAGTACTCATTTTATGAAACGTCACGTGTTTAATAAAAAAAAAAAAAAGAATGCTGTATAGAAGAATAATTCTTGTTATATAATATGCATTTTCTTTCTTGGATAATATAAGATTCTTTCTAATTATAAAATATTTCTTTTTAATATTTTTTATTTATAAACATTTATAATTTTCCAATATTATTAATTATTATTAATATTAATAGAATATTTATATAATTGTTATTATAAATATTTTTCTTGCATAGAAAAATAATTTTTGTCGAATAACATGCACTCTCTTTTTCTTTATAGAAAAATACACGATTCTTTCTATAAAAAATATTTCTCATGATGTGTAGAATATATGGTATGTAAAAATATTTATAATCGTTTGTAATAATTTTTAAATATTATTAATATTAACAGAATATTTATTATTTTTAAAATATTTTTCTTGCATAAAGAAGAACAATTCTTGTTAAATAATATGCACTTTCTTTATAGAAAAATACAGGATTCTTTCTATAAAAAATATTTCTCTTTAAATATCAAATATTTATACAAATATTTGCAAACATTTTTAATATTAATATTAATTCAAATATTTATGAAAAATATTTTCCTCGTTAAATTTCGCGAATAGAATTAATTTCCGCAGGACAGGTCGCACGTAACAAATGCATTACCCTATATATACGACGTCTATTAATTTTCCCCGCCGTGTATTTGTGATGCAACATGTAACGCCGTCCTCTGTTATGTTGATCGGCTCGTTCAAAGCCGCCTCACGCGAGACAGGTGCATTTTTTTGTTTCGCTCGGCGTAAACGTAAACGCTCGCGCGTAAAATTCGTACTATTTATAGATTGATGGGATTAACGTCAGTTTGGTGCGAGGATGTTAAGTAACATTGTTTGCGTTCTTTTTTTTAAATAATTAACCTTCGCGGTGTTATTCGCCGCGCGGTATATCGCATTCTCGTCGCTCACGCGATAACCGGTTCGGATAACGGGTCCTTACGCAGCCGCCGTATTAATTCATCTCGCTCTCGCTATGAATCGCGTCGCACCCCTCCGATAATCGATCTCTCCTGCAAGTTCGAGTTCGCGGGATGACGGTCGCGTCATATATTTCCACCCTCAAGAGGATGCCGGAGTAGTTCTGTTTTATCGATCGAAATATTTTTCTTTTTTTTTTTTTACTTATATTTTGATTGGCTATACAGATTGATGAATCCTTTTTTCACAATTAAAGTATTAATATTAACAGACCGCGGTAGCTTATAATTTCAGGTAATAAACAATCCAATAGCCAATAAATAGATTTATAGTCGAATCTAACCTTACTTTTCGATCGATAAAACAGAGCTATCCGGAATGTATACCATTGTTGGACCAAGAAATTATCAAAATTAAGGACTTATAACTCTATATATTTTTCTATATTTGTAATTTTTCACGAAATACGTGGTAGTGTGATGCAGAAATAATTTTTTATATACATTATATATAGGGTGTATCTATAAATAAATGCGAAAAATTTTAGATGATTCTTTGTCAAAAATTAAAGGGCGTTTTTTTATAGTTAAAAATTTTATAGTTAAAACTTAATTTTTACTTCCTTTTTAAAAAAGAGTATATATTTATATAAGAAACCCTCCTTAATTTTCGACAAAGAATTACCTCCTAAAATTTTTCGAACTTATTTAGATACACTTGTATATATTTTTTAACTTTATGTGGAAATCATTCGTCGTCGAATTTATTTTCACAACTTCCATTTTAACGTTTATTGATTTATCGTTTAAGTGTCATCCTCATTTTGAGTGTGCCACATATTTTGGAATTAAAATTATAAATAAAAATTATATAAAAGTTATATGTATATATATAACTGTTATATTCTTATATATTCGAATATTATATTTGAGAGAAGGAGAACCGGAGTTAATGATTCGAACACTTTTAACCACAGAACTATTTATTAGTTAGAACACAATCGGAGTAACCGGAGCTTATAAACGGAGCATCCGCTCGCTACGCGCCTGTCCTGGTCTCTGCGACAGCGGGAGACGATGACTCGGCTAAAAGCCGGGCTTTAGACGATATTCGGGGGTAAACTAGAACGATAACGCCGAAAGGTGTCACGATTAGGCTCCTTTACCTCGCGGCGCGCAACTCTCCATATACATCTCAAATACATAACAGCTCTTCCCCCTGTGAAATTGAACTGAGTGTCTTAACAATTTTATCATAATTTCGCAGCTACAATTTTACTTAAAACTAATATATAATTTTCCTTGTATACACTTTAAATTTGTGTTAAATATATACCGTACCTATCAGGCGGTTTTCTATAACGTTGAGGTCGGCCCTCATTGTTTTCGTTTACATTTTGTTCCAAACTTATTTTTGATTTACGCGTGCGTGTGTCGTCGGCTCTTGCAGCTTCCCCTTCCTCGGATTCCGTTGTATTGGGATTTTCGGAGTAGCAACTCGAGCTGGCAGGGTCAGAGTTTTTGTGCACAGTTTTCGCTTGCTCGTTATCGCTTGGAGTTAGAACATCCCGTGCTACCTCGACTGGACCATAATGGTCAGCCTCACCAAGGTTATTCGCCTCATCAATCGGGGCACTAATTTTTTCTCCTATTTTCCTTATTTGATCTGAGTGACGTTTCCAAATTTTTCCGTTGTCTAATTTAACTGAGTAATGTAATTTCCCTAGCTTAGCTAATACTCTCCCAAATCGCCATTTTACGTTTTTGTTTAAATATTCTCGCACGGCGACTCTTTCGCCTTCTTTAAAATTTCTTACAACTATTATATTTTCCATTTCAATTTCTTTATTAGTTTTCGGGAACATTAAGTCCAATCTGCTTCTTAATTTACGGTTATACATGGCTTCCGCCGGAGATTTATCTAATTCTGCATGAGGTGTTACTCTATACTGAAATAGAAATTTCTGTAGATTGGTCTTAATGTTGCCATTACTAATATTTAATTTTCGTAGTGATTTTTTTAACGTTTGTACGAAACGTTCCGCTAAACCATTTGTAGCAGGATGGTAGGGTGCTGTGCGCTTATGGTATATTCCGTTTATTCTAAGAAAATTTTCGAATTCTTCTGCAATAAATGTTCGCCCGTTGTCCGACACTAGGACTCGTGGCAATCCGAATTTGCGAATATTTCCCTACATTTTTCTATCGTGTTTTGGACGGACATGTTTTTTACAATGTGAACTTCAGGCCATTTTGTGTACGAGTCGACCAATACTAGAAAAGTGTGGCTCATAAACGGCCCCGCGAAATCTATATGTACGCGCTCAAAAGGTTCTGACGCCGCTTCCCAGGCGTGTTTAACTTTGATTCTTGGATTATTTAAAAACGTGGCACATGCTTTACAATTTTTAGTTATTTCTTCTATTTCTTTGTCTATTTTTGGCCACCAACAAAAATTTCGACTAAGTTTTTTCATTTTTACCGTTCCAAAATGCCCTGCGTGCAATTCTTTTAATACTTTACTTCTTAAGCTTTTCGGGATAGCTATTCTCTCTTTTCTAAACACGATACCATCCTGCAACGCAAACTCGCCATCATTATAACCCAGCGGAACTAAACTTTTGCCTTTTATCAAGGTTTGACGAATTTTTAATAATAACGCATCTTTATTTATTTCATCTCTAATACTTTTTGCAGTTACCGGTAATGTTTCTACGTTTTCCATTTGCAATACATCAATTACGTCGAATTTTCCTACGCTTTTCTCTTGTATGGGCAATCGTGAGAACCCATCTGCATTACAATGATCTATGGATTTACGATACTTTATATCAAAATTAAAAGCCTGCAAAAACACGGCATAGTGCTGCATGCGCAGTGCACTGTATGCCGGAAGGCCTTTTTGCGGGTTTAAAATTTGTGCCAACGGCTTATTATCCGTTAAAAGCGTAAAATGATTTCCATACAAAAATTGATGGAATTTTTTAATCCCGAAAACAATTGCAAAAGCCTCCTTATCAATCTGCGCGTATTTCTTTTGCGTTTCATTTAATGTGTTTGACGCGTATTGAATTACGCGTTCTGTACCATCGGGGTACATGTGTGAAAGGACTGCACCTATTCCGTACGGACTGGCATCCACAGCGAGTATCAATGGCAACTTTGGGTTAAAAGGCACTAAAATTTTTTTACTTCCGAATTCTACTTTAATTTTTCTGAAAGCCGTCTCACATTCTTTCGACCAATTAAATTTTACATTTTTCTTTAGCAGGTTATTTAACGGGTACATTTTATCACTTAAATGTTCGATGAAGCGTCCGTAGTAATTTACTAATCCAATAAAAGCGCGAAGTTGCGTCGTATTAGTTGGCCTTGGCATCTTTTGGACTGCTTCAATTTTTTTAGGTTCTTTTGAAATTCCGTTTTTGCTAATTATATATCCGCAATAGGATATTTTATCTTTAAGAAAGCGCATTTCTCTACATTAATGCGAATATTATATTCTGATAATCTTTTCAAAACAAGTTCTAATCTCTCGCAGTGTTGTTTTATGTCTTTACCGGCAATTCTAATATCATCTAAAAATATAGCCACCCCGGTATTCCGCACAGTATATTTTCCATTGTCCTTTGCCATATCGCGGGTGCAGATGCCACTCCGTACATTAATCGGTTGCATTTATATAGACCTTTATGTGTACTTAATGTTAAAATCTCTCTATCAGATTCCGCGACCGGTAACTGCAAATATGCTTGTTTTAAATCTATTTTTGAAAAAATCGTGCCTCCCGACATAGATGCGAACAATTCTTCCATTGTGGGCAAGGGGTGCTCATCTATAATTAAAGACGGATTGACTGTTATACTGTAGTCACCGCAAATTCTAATTCCGCCGTTTTTTTTTAAAACCGGTACGATTGGCGTTGCCCAATTCGAAGACTCGACTTTTTCCAAGATGCCTGCTTTTACCATATTTTCTAATTCTTTTTCGACTTTTTCTAAAATTTAAAGGGTACCGCACGATTTTTTATAAATACAGGCTTTACATTTGGTTTTAATTTTAGATGAGCTTGAAATTTATTAATATTTGCAAATTCGTCACTTAGTACGTTTCTATATTTTTCTAATAAATTAGCCAACCGTTCTTGCCCGGACGCGTCGAGAGTATGCACGTCTTCTATTTCTAAGAGACTATCTTTATTTTCTTTAACATTTTCAACTGATTAATCCACTCCCGGCCCAACAATGGATCTCGATCGTATTTAACCACGTACATATTTAATATTTTATTTTCATTTATATCTTTGACTTTTACTTTAATAAATCCGAGAGGCACGAAATTTTTCTTACAATAAGAGCGCAGTTTCAAACGCGTATTATAAATTTTAAATTTGGAAACGTTTCTCTACGCCATATATCGCTCACCAATGTGACCGCTGAGCCGCAATCTACGTCGAATGTCACTCTCTTCTTGCTTCTATTTGAAGCGGAACTGTGTACTTTTCCCTGTGCTCGAGATGCTCTCTGTCATCCACACGGAACACCTCTTCTAACAGGTGGGCCTGCCCTTTCTTCTTACAAACTTTTGGAGGTGCCCAAACCTCCGCATTCTCTACATTTAGTGTTCCGAGGAAGGGTACAGCTTGGCGCCAAATGAGCCTGACCAACACCTATAACAAACAATATCATTAACTTTCGAGTTCGAACGCTTATTATTTGTATACTTATGATGTTTGCCAAGATTGGAATGCTTCGAAGTCGCTGCGTCCTTCCTCGACCCTTGTTGTTGATTTCCTCTGTTTCCAGTACGATCATCACGGCCCTTTGTCTTCTTCTGTTTTGCTCCAGCTCCAATGTAGTCAACGGTCGTTTCCGATAATGATTTTCTTCTTTTAGTTTATTAACGCCCTTCTCCGCCATTTCCATTCCGCATGCGATTTTTAATGCGGAGTCCTTCGTGAGATTCGCCGTCTCCAACAACCTCGATTGAATCCGATGATTCCTTAAGCCGAATACGAATTGATTCCGTAGTTCCATTGGTAGATATTCTCCAAATTTGCAGTGAAGCGATAATTTTCTGGAGAGCCGCCATGTATTCCTGGACAGTCTCCTCTGTACGTTGCATACGCTTCCGATAAATATATATCTCG